AGAATTAACAGGCATTAGAGGTTTGTGGGATGGCCTATGGTTAGGAGGTGACTTTAATGTGATCAAATTTGTGGGTGAATCAAGTGGAGGAAGACAGAGGATCACTTCAAGTATGAGGAAATTTAACAATTTTATTGAGACTTTTGAGTTAAGAGATTTCCCACTAGGCCAATCTTGTTTTACTTGGTCCAATCTCCAGGCTAATCCTATTTGTTCCAGACTGATAGGTTCTTAATGCCTCTTGATTGGGAAAAACATTGGGTGGGCTTGAGGGGGAAGTCCCTACCCAGAATTACATCAAATCATTGGCAAATCTGCTTGTTTCAGAGGTCTAGTGAGTGGGGACCTATTCCTTTCAGGTTTGAGAACATGTGGATTACCCACTTGGAGTTCAAAAAAAAGGTTAAGGAGTGGTGGGATTCCCAAAGTCCACAACCTGTTTGGGAAGGATAAAAGTTTTTGAGAAAATTACAAAGGCTGAAAGGGGAGATAAAAGAGTGGAGTTTGGAAGATTGGAAGAGAAAAAAGGTAGATCAATTGCTCAAATTGAGGAGTTGGATAGGAAAGGAGTGAAAGGTGTGTTAGTAGGGAATGAAAGAGAAAGAAGATGGTCTTTAAAGGAGTTAGAGGATACCTTAACCTTGCTGAGAGAGGAGATCAGTTGGAAACAAAAGTCAAGAGAGAGATGGCAACACAAAGTTCTTTCATGCTTTAACAAATTGGAAGGAAAAGGAAGAGCTCAATTTCCTCTTTAGTAATGGGTGGGGCTGAGATCACAGATCAAGAAGAAATTGCTAAAGCCTCTGTTGATCACTTTTGATCAATTTTTTGTAGGCCATTTACTGAGAGGTGGACTTTGGATGGACTGGATTGGGAGTGTTTGGAAGAGAATCAAGTACAATCCTTGGAGAAGAACTTTGAGGAATTTGAAGTGAAAGAAGCCATATTCTCTATGGATAGATCTAAGGCTCCTAGGCCTGATTGATTCACAATGGCTTTCTATCAAGATTGTTGGGAGATAATAAAAAAATGATTTGATGAAAGTATTCAGGGAATTCCATAGAAGGGGAGTAATTAGCCCAGGGATGGATTCAACCTTCTTAGCATTGATCCCAAAGAAGCAAGCTGCCACCTAGCCTGGAGATTTTAGACCTATAAGTTTAGTGACTAGTATCTCTAAGGTAATTGCAAGGTACCATCTCTAAGGCTTAAGAAGGTGATTCCCTTTATCATTTCCCAATACATAGGAGCCTTTGTCCAAGATAAACAAATTATTGATCAAATTCTAGTCGCAAGTGAGTGTGTGGAGGCTCAAAAAAGGCAAAAGAGGAAGGGTGTAGCAATTAAATTGGATTTGGAGAATGCTTATGACCTTGTGGACTAGGATTTCTTGATTGACATCATGAAAAAGTGTGGGTTTGGGGAGTTGTGGTATAAGTGGATCAGAGGTTGTTTGCAAACAAGTCATTTTCTGTTGTAGTGAATGGTACTGCAGTTGACTTCATTGAAGGGATTAGAGGCCTTAGAAAAGGAGATCCACTCTCTCCCTTTCTCTTTACTTTGGTAGCTGAGATTTTAAGTAAATTAATCTCAAAGGCTAACTTGATGCATTTGATAAAAGGTTGTGTAGTAGGGAGAGACAGAGTTTTGGTCTCACACTTGCAGTTTGCAGATGACATTCTGGTCTTTGTGATGGGGAGAGCTGAAAAGGTGTAGAAAATTTAAAGATAGTTGTGAGCCTCTGTGAAAGGATTTCCAATTTGAAAATTAATTGGTCTAAGAGTTTTGTGGCTGGTGTCAATTTAGAAGAGGGTGTCTTGAGAGCTTTGGCTGATTTGTTGGGTTGTGAAAAAGGAGAGTAGCCTTTGTGTAATGATAAAGTCTACTTTGTCTAATCTTCCAATCTATTACATGTTGGTTTTTAAAATGCCCCAAGTTGTGATAAAAAGAATTGAGAAGATCATGAGGGAATTTTTGTGGGAGCCTAGGGAGGGGGAAAAGATCATTTGGTTAGGTGGGACAGTTGAAAGATGAAGGGGGTTTGGAAATAGGAAATGTGAAAAATATGTTTTTTCTAAGTAAATGGCTTTGGAGATTCCCTAAAGAAGATGAGAAATTATGGACTAGAGTTATTTCAACTATCCATGGGCTGTCAAGCAATGGTTGGGATGCGGGTTGTTTGCATAGAGCTACTTTGGCTGCTCCCTAGAAGGCCATCCATGACATTCTTCCTTTGTTCCTTTCTCACATCAGGTATGATTTGGTTTTGGGTTAGAAAACCAGATTTTGGGAGGACATCTGGGTTGGGGATTCCCCCCTGTCCGAGGTGTTCCCTTCCCTTTTTGCACTTTCCAGTCTTAAAGGTAAACCCATTAGTGATTTTATTAGCTCTTCCTCTTAACCTGCTAACCTGAGTTGGAATATGGGTTTTGTTAGAAATATGAGAGACTGAATTGTCTAGTGTCTTTGCTTTGACTAATTTGCTGAATTCAGTGGCTTTGGGGGACAGTGGCTCAGACTCTAGAGTTTGGGCACTCAATCAGTCCGGGTCATTCTCTTGCAAATCCTTCTTGAACTCTCTTGTTGCCACATCCTCCTCTCCTTTTCCTATCAAGGAGATTTAGCTTCAGCCCATTCCTCCTAAAGTCAGTGCATTCTGTTTGGAAGTGTTCCATGGTTCCTTCAATACCTGTAATCTGCTCCAGAGAAAAAGACCAAATTGGTGCTCCTTATGTAAGTTGCATGGTGAGACTGCCTTTCTTCTTTTAATTTCATGTCCTTTGCTAACTTCATTTGGGAGTGGTTTTCCTCTCTGTTTGGATGCAACTGGACTCCTCCTGCTAATCTGGAAAGCTTCTTTAGCTCTCACTTATTTAGGTGTTCTAAAAGGAGAGGCAGAATTATGGGAAGATGCACTAGAGCAGCAGTTGCTTGGACAATTTGGGAAGAAAGAAATCTGAGGATCTTTGAAGACAAAGAAAGAAGTAAAGAAGCTGTGATTGAAGTGATATCTCTAAGGGTGGCGCATTGGGTGAAAACACTAAATTTATTTGCTGATTTTAAGACAGAAGACTTTTTCAGGTCATGGGGTACAATTGCAAAAACTGCATCTTGGAAACCTATGGTGATTGAATCCTAGTCCCCTCCGGATGCTGGGTGGAAGAAACTAAATTTTGATGTCAGCTGTTTAAGAAATCCGAGGCCATCAGGCATTGGTGGGGTAATAAGGGAAGAGAATGGAAATATGCTAGCCATGTTCTCAGGTCCTATTCAGCATAGTGATGTGGTGAGCTCAGAAATGAAGGCAGCATTGTTTGGTGTTGAAAAAGCTAAAGAAATGAGGATTGATAGGTTGATTGTTGAAGGTGACTCAAAAACTGTGGTTAACTGGCTGAAGAAAGGGGAGGAAATTATTTGGCACTTAAGGAATGAGTTCAGGCACTTCAAACAGGCTTCTAAGGACATGGTGATTCAAATAAGATGGATTGGAAGATCAGCTAACAGCATGGCTAATGGTCTAGCTTAGCAAGGAGTTCAAAGACAATCTATGTTTTGGGCTATGTTCTAATTAGTAGGAAATTTCTGTTGGGTTACCCTTTGGGCTGTGTTGTATTAAAGGGATTGTCTTTTGGGTTGGCTTGGGGCTGTGATGTATTATTTAGTGGGACAATGTGGACTGCTTGTCCGCCCACATCTTCTTGTTGTACTTGATTTTTCCTAATTAATGAATCTTTTCTGTGTTGCTGAAAAAAAAAAATTACTCTTGCATTCATATGGAGGCCAACATCGTGATGGACTCATTAGTAAATTTAGCCTTCTTTTTGCTAATTAAGAGCGAAACATCATTTTTCTGGAATGCATAAAGCATCATCATCTTCTTCTAAGCCTTGTCCCAACTATATACGGTCGGCTACACTAATCCTGTTTTGCCATTCTATTCTATTCAGTACCATATCCACTGTTAAATTCTGGGTCTTTAAATCATTTCTTATTACTTCCACCCAAGTCCTTTTTGGTCTGCCCTTAGCCCTTCTAGCCCCTTTAACTTGTAATACATGACTTTCTAATAGGTGATGTAGATTGTCTTCCATGCATGTGACCAAACCATCTCAATCTACTTTCTCTCATTTTATGGCCTATTGGAGTTACTCCTAGGTTCCTTTGTTTTTCTAACCCTGTCCTTTGTAGTTTTTATAATTGTTATTATGAAGAGATGAAAGAGGAGAGAGGCAAGATACTTATGGCTGAAGTGAGGAAGAAAGAATCATCTTCTCCAAAGAGAAAGTAGAGGATGCAGCAAGAAAGATGGCTTTTCCTCCTACCTGTATTGTTCTTCCTTGGTTGAAGGATCTTGGACCAATTTTCTTTCTTTTTCTTGCTTCTTTCTCTTATTTCCTCTTCTCCACATCTCATTCTTTATCTCTTTAGTTTCAGCTTATGAGGGATCTCACACATATTTGATTAATAAAGTATATTTTATTATATAAAACATAAAGTATAAAAATAGCTATATATCTACTGGATCCCTGAAATCTTTTTGTTGGGGCTTTCTGAGTCTGATACCTTGTATCCATGTTAGTCTGATAGACATACCTGTACCCATGTAACATAGAATCACAAACATATATTTGCATGCATGCATGGACAAGTGCTTGTTTTTATTCTTATTTACTTGGAAAAATAAGCCTTTGTGCTTTCACTTATATTTGCTATACAGCACCAGAATTTAGTTTCTTGCCTGGGTTTTTCCTTCAAGTTCTTAATTTGTTTCCTTGATATGTTTAGAACATGTTCTGCAATATTTTCTCTAGATTAGTTTACTTAAAATTCTACCATGTTTTACAATTAATGTTCATTGTTCTGTCTCATTTGCCACCTAATTTTGTAGATTGCCATGTAGTTATTATTTGTTGAATAGTTTTCCATATTGTTAGTTCAGTATTAACTGTAAGTTGGGGTACTAATAATTGTGATCCTATTTTGATGTGCTGATTATGTAGAGCCACACAAGAACATTCAGGAGATAGCAAAGGGCCTAGTTGGTTCTCGTATTGCTGTGAAGGTATTTAGGACTACCATTTTTATTTTTTTTTTGTTTGAGATCTAGGTCAACTAGATTGTCTTTTATTAAATTGTCTGTTTAACTTTAATATCTGTTCTCTGAAAATTGTTTAAATTTAAGAATCATTTCCTTAAATTTACCTTCATTCTTCTGTTGAGACATTTTTAAGTCCCAATTTAAGACATTTTATTTAATCATTAAAGATATAAAGTTTTAGATAATCAGTCCATAGATTACGTTTAGGACTACCATTTTTATTTTTTTTTGTTTGAGATCTAGGTCAATTAGATTGCCTTTTAATAAATTGTCTGTTTAACTTTAATAGCTGTTCTCTGAAAATTGTTTAAATTTAAGAATCATTTCCTTAAATTTACCTTCATTCTTCTGTTAAGACATTTTTAAGTCCCAATTTAAGACATTTTATTTAATCATTAAACATATAAAGTTTTAGATAATCAGTCCATAGATTACGTTCTTTTGAACTGACACTGAGATGCTTTGCACAAATGGGCCATGTACATGCTTAGAAGTTAGAAGTGTTCATGATTTATACTTTCATGAAAAGTTCAAGACACATGATAGATAACTTCCATTTTTATTTTGAATTACATCTTATCGTAAGCATCATCTTGGAATATTTTTTGCATACTTATTTTTAATTAGATTTTCTTGGTTTCTTTTCTCTTTGGTTTATGTTCTTGTGATTCTATATATCCTAACGTATTTGGTTGTAGACATCTGCAGCTTGATTCATGTTAAGGAGCATATTCATATCAACAAGGGTATTTAAGTCATTGTATTTAGTCTTATAATGTGGTTTCTAATTATGGGTGAATTTGTAATTTTTTATTTTCATATAAAGGCTAATAGAAAGAGGTGGTTGCCAACTATGAATAAATTTGTACTTTTTTAGTTGTCTTCTATTTTCTGATAATTTTTTTGTTTCTTGGACATCAAAAATTGCAAGTTGGTATTAGAGGACACTGAACTTTGGGATCAGAATCTCCATTGACTGCTAATGTCATCATTGCTGGTGGCTGATGTCAGCAGGCTGTATGGTTGACCTGTGCAGGTGGAGGTAAAGGTACTATTAGGTCAAGCTCTATTTTAGGAATTTTTTGCGCAGGTTTGGAAGGTTTTTGAATTTATTTTAGTATTTTTCTTGATTTTTATAATGAAAATCAAGAAAATCACCTTTTCTAAAAATCAGATTTGTTGGGGAGGTAAGGGGCTTCAAACTGGGGTTGGCTTCCATTGTTTGATTCGTATGAAAATTCATGAGGGTTTCAAACCAATCTCATATTATTTGGATGGATGGATATTGAGGGAGCTGTGTTGTCTTTTCTCCCTCAAGAGGGATTCACTGCTGTCTGGAATTTCCAATGGAGCCTACTACATGGGGATTGGTGACAGTTCAAATAACAAGATAGCAACAGTCAAACTTGATGGAAGTATTTTTTCTTGAATCATTAACAGTTGACCAAGCTGTCCATTGGAGGCAATCTATCCTAAACTGGAGCAAGATAATCTCCTTGTAATGTCTTGGCTGTTTGCTCTATGCTGCCTCACATTGCAAGGAACCATATATTTGTGTCAACTGCAAAGGAAATATGGGACAGAGTTAACCATCATCATCCTCATCTATGCCTTCTCCCAACTATATGGGGTTGGCTACATGAATCCTGTTTTGCTATACCATTCTGTTCAAATATGGGACATAGTTACTGTCACTTATTCCCAGGCTAGGAATACAGCCAAAATTTATCAGTTAGGAAGGAAGTAGAAGTATAAGACAAGGGAGAAATTTGTCTCAATCTTCTTTTCCCTCCTTAAAGGTCATCTGGGAGAAGATAGACCACAGAGGCTTTGGAATGGAGCTATCCGATTGATGCAGATCAATACAATAAATGTAGTAAGAAGAAACATGCTTTGAATTTTTAGTTGGATTGAATTTTGGATTTGATTTTACAATATCCTTATTGGTTACATTTTGAGCCTTTCCATTGCATACTCCCTTATTTAGAGGGAAGAGAATTGCAGGTGTTGAAAGGACTGATTTATGTCCAAAAGGGTCGAACCTTGCTGGTTTACAAGTGTGAAATTTAATTCATTTATCAGTCCAAGAATTGGAGAAATCAAAACTCCCATGGAGAAACTATTTTCTCTTAGGATCAATCTAGGGTTAGGTGATCAAATTTGATGTTCAAATTAAATTGGGTTCGTACCTGATACGGGTAGCATAAGTTGCAGCTCCCAAAGAGGTAGTTCACACCCAAAAATCCAAATCCAAGTTGGGTCCAAAGCTGAAGATGGCGCAACCCCAGTCAAGAACTCGATCTAGCAATCTCTATGCGAATCGATGTGCACTCCAAGATGTCTCTTTGCATGCAGCTATGAAGTTTCAATTGTCCCAAATCCTTAGTCTAAAATTGTCGTTGCAGAAACCGCTTCAACTTCTTAATTCCCTCACCATCACTGCCTGTAATGATCGTATCATCAACATAAACTGTCAAGATAATTTTCCCAACTGATGTCTTTTCTAAACATTGAATGGTTGACACTACACTTCTTTAAACCAAATTGTTTTTCCAGACTACTGAATCTGCCAAACCAAGTTTGTGCTGACTGTTTTAATCCATAATTAGCTTTCTTGAACTTAAACAGTTTACATTCCTCCCCTAGAGCAATGTACCCTAGAGGTTGCTCCATATGCACCTCCTCATGATCACCATGAAGAATGCATTCTTAACATCAAGCTGAAACAATGCCCAATCTAAATGAACAGCTAGGGAATATTGACACAAATAGAGCCCATCTTGGCCATTGGGGAGAAGGTCTTAGTATAACCTACTCCATATAATTGAGTGTAACCTTTGTTAACCATTCAAGCTTTCTTCCTTTCCACACTAATATTAGGATGTTGTTTCATAGTATAAATCTTCTTACAACCTTAACTTGCTTCCCAGGAGTCAAAGTAACAAGATCCCATGTTTGATTAGATTCGAAAGCAACAAACTTATTGCTTATTGTCCATCGCCTTCTTCTAGTTAGGAGAAACAACAACTTGGAGAGAACGCAAGACAGAAACAAAAGACAACATAGATAGAAATCTCTGATAGGCAAGAGATAGATGTACAAATGAAACACAATGATATGTAAGGTGATCAGTACAGTACAGGCACATTTACCTTTACGGAGTGCGATGGGAAGATCAAGGTTAGATGAACCATTCAACGGTGGAGGTGATGGTGGAAAAGTAGGTGCTAGAATGGGATAAACAATTCCTCGAGGTCCTTTGCGATACACACTCTTAGGTGGTGGTTCTGCTTCTATTGCATCACTGCAGCTAGATACAGGAATATGACCATCTGTTGAGGCAACGGGGAGAGATAAGGAAGAAGACGTGGGAGAGGACTCAGTAGGAGAAAAGAAAGACACAGTTTCAAATGTCACATCAGGGAGTATCTGAGTGTCTTGGGAAAATACACTTTTAGGCTTCAAGCTCTAACTGGTGAACAAAACAAACACAACTAAACACACGAGGAGAAAGCGTGAATGGTTTAGTAGACGGAAATGACAAGGGAGAAACTCTACCAAGTGATGAGTGCATACGGTTAATTAAGAAACAAGTTGTGAAAACTGTATCACTCCAATAGATTTTAGGAAAATACATCTGAAACATCAAAGCATGAGCCGTTTCTAGTAAATGTCTATTCTTCTGTTTAGCCACACTGTTTTGTTGTGGAGTGTGTGAACAAAGACTGATAAATAATTCCATGAGAATCAAGGTATGACTGTAGATGGCCTTCAAAGTATTCTTTTGCATTGCCCAAACAAAATATTTTAATAGAAGCACCAAATTGATTTTGAATTTCAGCATGGTAAGAAATAAAAATATAAGGCAGTTCAGAACAAGCTTTCTTTAAATAAATCCACGTCATCCTTGAATAATCATCAATAAATGTTACAAATAGATCCACCTTTCTCAAGCACAAATTGATTCTCATTCCTTAGCATCAGTTTGAGGGGGAGTGTAAAGACAGAGAGGGTTAATATTGTCTTAATATTTCTGTATCTTGGGAGCATATTTGTATTATACTCCTTGTACACTAGATTTATCCTAAGGACAGAATTATCCTTTTATATTTTAATGCAAATAACAATTTCTGGGTGTGTGTAGTCTCTTGAGACGCATCCGTACAGTTCTCTGTCACCTTTCTTCTTTACCATTCAATCCTACTCTGATAAAGACATGGTCGCTTGGAAATCGAGAACAGTTAGGTGTTGCTCATTCTAGTGCAGAAGCTCTCATGTCTTCTCAAGAGCATTATGGTTATGATTATTGCTTGATTCTGTGTCACTTGGGAGAAGCTATTGGAGCTTGGTGCTTTGTTATGACAACAAGGTAGCTATCAATATACCTCATAACCTGGTTCAGCATGATCATACTAAGAACATTGAGGTAGATGGTCACTTTGTCAAGGAGAGTGATGATTGGAGTGGTGTGTCTCCCTTATGTGAAGATTGACTAGCAGTTAGTAGAAATTTTTACTAAGGGTGTTCCCATGCCAAAGCTACAAATTTTCTTGGCAAGTTGGGAATGATGGATATCTATTCCAGACTTGGTAGTGTTGAGAAATTAAGTGTATGGTTATTGAGCTACTTTCTATTTTTTTTCTTTATTTTATTTTGGACCTGTTTAGTGGGCCCATGGGCCTTGCATATTAGTTCATTTAGTATTTTAATTTATAGCTACCTTATGATGGCCATCCTTGTAATTTTACTTCACATTATTAAAGCTTATAAGCTCTGGTGGGATCCATTTGGATCTCATGATTTGTACTTCCCAAAACCACCTCTCTCTCTTCCCTTTTCTTGCTTCCTTCATTCTACTGTTCAAACCTTAATTGATTTCCAATATAACCTAATCAGTTGCCATAACCAATAACCTTAACTGATTTCCAATCAATTGCAAGGAGAGACCTATTGTCTCAACAAAATCTTCAATCAAATGCCTTGCTGAATCGTAGAAAGAAAACTGCAGATCTGGTTGCTAAATGCTCTGCCACCAACAGCACATCGAAGACACAAGATTTCTTGCAATCAAATCTTATAGAACCCTTACAACATGAGATATCAGAACTCCTAGAGATGGTAAATATAAATGTCAAGAACCAACAAGGCAGAGAAAGGAAACCCAAAATGACGACACAAATTTTAACAGGCCAGAAATTTCTTGCATCAAAATAGCTGAACTGATGGACCTAGCAGACCCCTTAATCATAGTTTAAACAAGCTGGCCACTCTATAGTTCAATCAAGCCTGGAAAAAAAGGCAGGGAATCTAAGTTCCTTTGCCCTAACTCTACCAAACCCTCTAGAGACACAAGGAAGATCTGAATGCTCTGTATATTTTCAGTTTCTTGCTCACCTCTGACTGAACTTTCATCTGACACTTGATTATACAGACTGATTTGACACTCCCATAGAACCTGATTCAATTTGTTGCTGTAGAGAAGACGAGACCAGCATGAGAGGCCCTCCTTTCATGAAATGATGTAGTTAAAGTTTTCTATTTTTCTTGATATTTTAGGTGATCCAAGCAAGTGAAGAGAACAGAAAGTTGATCTTCTCTGAAAAAGAAGCAATTTGGGAAAAGTATTCACAACAAGTAAAAGTAGGGAATGTTTTTGAAGCAAGATTAGGTTCTGTTGAAGATTATGGGGCCTTTGTTCATTTACGTTTTCCTGATGGTAATGATAATTAGTTTAATAGATATCCTGTGTTCTTTTCTTAATGACTTTTCTATCCGAAAGAAATTTACTGGTATGTTGTATTTGAGTTGCAGGTTTTTATCATCTTACTGGGCTTGTACATGTCTCAGAAGTTTCATGGGATTTGGTTCAAGATGTGAGAGATATCCTAAGTGAAGGTGATGAAATAAAAGTTAAAGTTATCCAAATAGATAGGTAAGTTTTGGCATGGTCCTGTTATACTTCTTTAACTGTACTCCTTTGAAATTGATTGATCCTTCTAGTTACATGGACTGGTTGGGAAGTTTTAATTTATTCAGATAGTTATATGGAGCTTGTGGGTGAATAAAATGAGTAGTTACAAGCAATTACTACTTATGTTGATGTTGGAGAATTCTTAATGGAGAAAGGGAATTTCTTTTTGACATCCAGTACTGTCCATTGTGTTCATCTAATGTTTGAATATATTACAAACCTACCTAGAGTGAAAATATCTTAGAAAATCATGGTTTTCTATTGAATTTGATGAGACAATTGATATAGGATTGATAGGTCTGATATCAACCGGTGTCAATCAGGGATGGGTTTAGGAGGGTTGATACAGGTTCAGAGGTGATTTTAGGACCAAACATGGGAACACAATTTTCAAGGTGCCAAGTTGAGGCTAGGCAACAAGGGGGCACGTTGTTGCCTAGTTGCCTAGGCAATGAATTTAAGTAAAAAATATATATCCTAGGGTAGTTCCCTAGGTTCCATAATCATATTTCTTTAATAATTATCAATAAGAAAAGCATATGTTAAGTATAGAAAATTAACATATTCATGAGAAAAAGAAGAAAGAAAAGAAAATTCAAAAAATATAGGGGCTGAACCCCTATTTTTGTCATAGGAAAAGAAGAAGAAGAAAATGTGTTGATTAGACAAAATTTTAAGTTCTTACTTATTGGTTCAGGTTATGAAGTCATTGAGGGTTCAATACAGAAGTTATTGATCAAAGAAAAAATACAGCAGTTAGCAATGTCTGTGTTGATTAAACCCTAACAAATAAGAAAATAATAAAAAATTAAGAATATAAAAGTAATTTATAACACAACATACAAAGCTGTTTGGCGATTAGGCGAGGCGAGCCTCCTAAGGCACCTTGTCGCCTAGGCATTGCCTTGACAACTATGCATAGGAATTATGTTGGATAGGAAGGCTCTTAGGATTTAGTTTCAGCAATGCGTTTCAAAGAGGAATTATACATTTCATTTGCTTGAGGGGGTGGACATGCTAGGCTATAGGCAAATGACTATACTTATGGATTTGAATATTAAGCTTATATTTGATGACTGGGAGTTGGTTGATGATAACGGATAGTAGTGGAGGTTTGTTGGGAAACTAAATTATTTGATTATTACTTAACTTGACATATTATTTGCAGTTTGGACTTTGTATTATTGTTCAGTTTATGGACTCTCAAAGAGCCTGTCTTCTAGATGTAGTATTTTAGATATTGTGATATTTGAAGAGTTCTAAAGGCCTTTTGGGTTAGAAGGTGCGAAATGGATCAGTTGGTAATGTCTCTGGCAGGTTGTAGCAGAAATTTCAGTTCAAATCTCGCCTTCACCAGGGTTGGGAGGGATGTGAGTTTGGGGGATCAGCTACCCCAGTTGTGTAGCCCCATGGAACCAAAAAACAAGCCCTGGGGTTATATATGGATCATGGTCAACTTGACTATATCTAGTTATATAGTTGTGGATTGGGCTGCCTTGCCTTGATGATTAATGGTTTTAAAGTAACTTCCTTGAGCTGTTGCCTTTAGTCTCATTTTTATAATTTTTACTATATAAAATAAAAAAAATGATAAAATTTTAAGGGCCCTTCAAGCTAGATTTAGGTAAAACTTGGAATATTGTTCATTTTTATAATTCCTTGAGCTGTTGCCTTTAGTCTCATTTTGAAAATATTGTTCATTAGATTTAGGTAAAACTTGGAATGGCTATGGAATTTGAATACCATTAATAACTTAAATTAAAAATTGTTTCCTTTTCTGTTTAATATGTGCTTCAAAATTGTTTCATAAAAGAATCTGTTTGGGATTTTATTGGCTTCACTGTAGAGAAAAGTCAAGGGTTACTTTGTCAATCAAGCAGTTGGAGGATGATCCTCTTTTGGAGACATTGGACAAAGTAATTTCTCAGGTTTGTATTTTGGATATTGGGTCCTAGTTACTCTGATTAATATAAGTCAGATATTGCTTATTTACAAGAAAAAATAAATACAACTACTAATTAGTTTTTTCAACTGTACAGGATAACCATATTGGATCTGATAATTTGAGCACATCTGATGATTTGAATATTGAACCTCTTCCAGGACTAGATATTATATTGAAGGAGCTACTACAAGAAGATGGGTATAAGTGCCTTATTACATAGTTTTGTCATGAGTTATTTTGTCAAATAGAATATGGGTCTAGTTTCATTACCTTTTAACATCTAATTGACATCCAAATTTTGTTTCTTAAGTATTCCATTTTTTATGTGTGATCTTTAGGTTGTGTTTGGAATCGATGTAAAACGTCATTGATGTAAATGTTTATGCCAGTTCAGTTTTGTTGGTGTTTGGGTGGAGTGTAAATCAAGATCGATATAAAGCTCCACACTAGTTCGGTTTTATTGGTGTTTGGATGGAGTGAAATTTTACGTCGTAAATCGATGTAAAACTTCATCTGAAGTAAAGTTTTACATCGATTATAGATGTAAATACTACATTGATAAAATTAGTGTAAAACTCCAAGTTTTTCTCGACATGCTTTTCGAAGCTCAACAGTCACTTTTTTACAGTTCAATGTAAAACCTCATCGATGTATTTTTACACCAATACGTTTTACATCGATTCCAAACATAGCCTTAGGTCATAAAAGTCCTCAAGTCATTGGAGTCTTCATGGATTGCAATGGGGTGATTATTTTCTCTTCTTTTCAGCTAGTTGACATGAGAAACTGGAAGTAAAACCTATAAATAATATAACTGTTTTCATCAGTTTCCACATATAAGAATCTACTACACTAGTCCTTCAAATAGTCTACACAACACAGAAGAATTGAAGCACCAAAAATACGAAAAAATGTTTCAGTGTATATGGAAAATAAACTACTTGAAGCCCCCATATCAAAAGAAAAAGGAAAAAACTAGCAATAAAGAAATGAAATTAAGTGCAGGAGTTCTAATTCTCCAGATTGTAATATGGGTTTAATTTTCATTGACTAGGTTGAAGGGATGAGAGATCCATTATATGGATGGCCGAACCCTGTAGGAAGGCTGGGCGAAATTTCAAAAATCTTTATCTCCCATCTGGTAATCACATTCCCTATTTTACAAAATTGCATTTTCAATGATCAATCTTGAAACAAACCGGACCAGATCTGAAACCAAAAAGGGAGGAGAGGGATATACCTGATACAAAGTAACAGTAACTCCCAATGAAGGTGTTTACGCTCAAGGAGAAGACCAAAAACTGCTTCYACTGAAGATGACACAATGTGAGGTGAAGCAGAATCAGCAGGATGACTCTTCAGCAAGAACCGAGTTCTTCAGCAAGAATGTAGTAGAGGGCTAGTGAGCACGACTTCAGATTGCATCTTCTGCCAAGAGGCAATATCAAGAACGATTCTTGATCACTCCCACAAGTGGAGATTGAACTGGTAGGGGTAGCAAGAATAGGAAGAAAAGAGCAGAAGACAGGGGCAGTCAAACTGTATATTGTCTTCTCTCTTAATTCAACAGACTGTGAGTTAGTATTTGGAGGTCCGCCTTGCTCTCCTATTTATAGCCTTAAAGAGGGAATCTCCTAATCCCATTAGGAGTTTCGTAATCCAAATCTTTTATTTGGATCTGGACTCTCTTAAAGAGAGTCCATCACCATGGGTTCTTAATGGGCCCAACATTTATACTAAATGGTCATTGGGTCCAACCACCTTATGAAAACCCAAGGACTGTGGGCAGATGCAAGATTAGCCCATCAGGTATTACCCTCAATGGTCTTCACTTAACCTCTCAGCCCATAATGATCAAACACTGCCCGACACTAGAGGACCTCTCCCTCGGTTGCAAGGAACAGTGTTGCACTCTCTACTCACATGGATCCTAGGAATTAAAACCTTTTGCAAACATTTTGAAATCATAATGTATATATATATATATGTATATCTCTTATATAAACATATTTTGCAAAAACAAATTTCAACGGTTGAAATCAACTGCCGGCAATTTAGGTTTCCATCAGAGAGAGTGCATCCCCGATCATTCACTTTGTCCGACAATGGGGCTGATCTTGTCACTATGATCACCCACTCAGATGAATTCTTGGACTGTCCCACCATACCCAGGTTTTGACCCCCTCTAAGGATTTCTCTAATTGGCATATCAAAGATAACCCATTCCGATACCTAGTGCRATATCATAATCGAGTCTAGGGGTTAGGTGTAACATTCCAGTTTTGCCCATCTGTCTCCATGGTCCAGGGCAATACTGGAATTTTGGTCCGGTTCAGGGTTTCAAGAAAACCCACACTGCATGTACCTCAAGTCTCACCCTGGCAGCTGAGACAAGCCACCCCAATCAACTTGGCGGCACATCAGTATCAACCTTGGCAGGATAAATCTCCCCAGATCTATCCAACGGCTGTGAAGTTTCTAAACTAACACGAGTCTCATATGTGTCCAGTTTAAGGGTATTACACAGAAACTCACCACAATGACATGAATCAATTATATACTTTATTTATTTATAGTAAATGTCAAAAGATACATCAATCTGATTGGAGTTAGAGGCATAATTGTCTAAAATAGGTTTCCTTCTAACTGTTTTAAAGTGTCTATTTTCAAAGATCAGGGAAGATATACCAAAGTACTTTTAAAAATAGTCAATATCTAGTGTTGGTCCCAACTATCTGGGGTCTTAGGAGGGGTGGACCGGATATGGACCTATCCTTTTGTAGAGACAAGGACAGTGAGGGTTAATATTGTAATTTTTCTTCTTATTGTACATATTTCTTCATTCTTTCATTGTGTATTATACATCTTGTATACTAGAGACATATTTGTCCTTTTACTTTTCATTAATATAAATACCTTTCTCTTGGTRTGGTTGACTCATTAATAATGTTGAACTCCTAGAAATCTAGATGTTTTTGTTACCATTAGAAAGTTTAGTTTCCCTCAACCGAGGATAATTGAGGCTTTTTTCTCTAAAGAGGATGACTGAATTCATTAAATTTTTTTCTAAAATCAAGGTGAAACAAGATTTTGTGTTTTCTAGTTTAGCAGTTCAAGCCATCTATACTATTAGCTAATGCCATCTGACAATAATAGTGATGCCAGTAGTCAATAGTTTCCATTGCCACTAGGAAGAAATACCAGAATTGTCTGATACCAACTTGTTAGAGAGAGTTAATTAATAAAAGTAGAAAGAAGACAAACAGGAGAAGAAATGAGAGAGAAAGAAGGGTTTTCAAGAAAATGAATTTTGGGGCATGTCCCCTTCTTCATTAACTTATATGTTGTTAGATACAATTCATTAAGATTATAACAACCCATTTTGTAGGACATGGTTGCAAGAATAATAATGACTTACACCATCCAACAGAGGTCATTAAGTATGGTTTTTTAGATCCATGATTGGCCAATACCAGAACTCAAAGCATTAAGGGAATGAGATGATAAAGCCCAATATTGTTGGCCTCATCAGGACTTATGAAGTTCATTCAATGTGAAAAACAAGCTAAGTAACCAATTGATAGAAGCAGCACTGTTGTTTGTCCTTCCCTATGTTGTTAGATGCTATTTCCTATGAATGTTTTATATAGATGATTGAAAGTTGAGATTTTATTCTCTTTATGAGTCTATGGATCATAATAATTGGAGTTGATAAATCTTGATGGATTCACCTTTGTGAATTTGGAATGTAATCACTTCTTCTGAGATTGAATGCGGACTTTAAAGTACTAAGAAATTTGATATTTTTGTTAGCACTTCTTTTGGAGTTTGGGTGTGGCAATTGTAATCTTATTTCAAGGATTGTATTACACTAGACACCTTCATTTGTCCTATTGTACTATTTGGTCGTTCAAGTCAAAAGACACTTTTATTTGTGCATACTAACCATGCTCAGTGCCATATGACAATGTAAATCAAGTTAGGTATATGTTTAAATTTAAAAGTTTTTAATGTGCTTTTAATATTGTAATACAAGATGTTATTTGATTTTGATTGCTATTTATAATATTTTATAAAGAAACTCAGTATTCAGAAGTTTTTGAAACCCATTGTCTTTGTGTGTTGTGAGGTGTGTTTCATGCACTGAGTGCACAAATGGGCATTTCCTCTTTGTATATGCATTTTGTTTTGATTTTCTTGGTTAGTGGCATGGGTGAGCCTGGATGAGGTTGCATGGTTGTAATTCTGTCCCATACATGTGGTCTCATGTAACCATAATCCATGCCTGAATAATCTTGTTGTCGTAGATTTTTCTTTGGAAGATGTCTACACTACCTTGGTCACATGTATAGTGCACTTGTGTGATTTGGCCCTAATGGTGTGGATGGTCCATCTTGGTCAAGTTGCTTAAACTCAGGAATGTGTGAATGTATGGTATTGTGTTAGGTGTTGGACTTCTTTGTATATTTATGAGCCAACCCCTACATTGTATAGATTCCCAGAGGGATAAGGCTTTTATGCCCCCCCTGATCATAGGTTTTTTTCTTCCGGTGGCAACCCCTCCACCGGGAGTAAATTGAGTAAATTTTGGGGTTAGAGAAAAGAATGTATGGTATTGTGTTGTAGTTAACCTCTACTTTTTCAGAGGATGATCTCTAGTGGAAAGAATGTAAAGATGGAAGATTCTCGGTGAAGTCCTTTTATATGGCCTTGATTAGAGATAATCTGGTTTCAGATCATGTAAAAGGTGTGTGGGGAAATCCGGTGCCTCCATAGTTGTCAAGGCGTTGCCTAGGTGACTAGGCAGTTTTTCATGGTCGCCTTGCCTAAATGCCCTAGGTTTTGCATACTAGGTGCCCGCCTGGAGACTTAATCGGGTGCCCACATACATATATAAAACTATTTTTTTAATTTATTGTTTTGATATTTTATTGGTTGTCGTATTCTTTTAAAATAAATCTGCTACATGGTATCATTTTAACATTGACTGTTTAATATTCTTTTATTTATGTTCTATGTTGATAATGAGCTTCAAATTGGGCCTTAATTATGTTATGTTTACTTAAGCTTATTCGCCCATTTAAGGGGCCTATCTGTAATTACTGAAAATTAAGATTAATGAAAGGGAATTAGGGTGTAAGAGGAGATTACATTTGAAAATCTTTCTCTAAACCCTATCAGCCGCCATGATTCAAAGT